AGAGAGAAAGAAAGAAAGAAAGAAAGAAAGAAAGAAAGAAAGAAAGAAAGAAAGAGAAAAACACAAAGAACAAAGTCATGAAATAGTGAGCTTTAAATCTATAAGATTAATTTTTATTTATTCACTCATTCTTATATAATTCAACCAGTATTTATTGATTACCTACTATGTGCCAGTCATGGTCATTACCACTAATGTACAGCACTGAACACAAAAAGTAAAATCCATGCCTCCTGAAACTTGTATTTTAGTAGGGGTGATGTATGACCCAGGACTGTTTGTATCTATGCCCAATACTGTTTTATAATCTAATGTAAGGTACTGATGGATTTTTGTGTCACATTATCATTTTACAGTGAAGTTTATAGACACCACAGAACCATGCATCAAGGAAACCAAACTACTGTCTCTGAATTCTTACTCCTGGGACTCACAGTGGGTTCTGAACAGCAGCAACTCATCTTTGTGCTATTTCTTTGCATGTATCTTGTCGCCATTGTAGGAAACTTGCTTATCATCCTTGCTATTATCAGTGATGTGCATCTCCATGGCCCCATGTACTTCTTCCTTGCTAATTTATCCTTCACTGACATCTGTTTCACAACCACTACAGTCCCAAAAATGTTGGTAGACATTCAAAGCCAGAGCTCAACCATCTCTTTTGCAGAATGTCTTACACAAATGTATTTTTTTATGTTCCTGGTAGACCTGGACAATTTTCTCTTGGCAGCTATGGCATATGACCGATATATTGCCATCTGTCGCCCATTGCACTATGCTGCCTTACTGAGTCCCAAGTGTTGTGCACTGTTGGTTGTGATTCCATGGATTATCTCCAATCTTGTCTCAGTGCTGCATCTCAGTCTACTGAGCCATTTGACTTTCTGTGATCAGAGAGCAATCCCACACTTCTTCTGTGACCTGGAGCCCATTTTAAGACTTGCTTGCTCAAACACCCAAGTCAACAACTTGATAATCCTAGCCATTGGGGGAACAGTTATCTTTGTCCCCTTTACCTTCATTCTTGTCTCCTATGCCCTTATTGGCAGCATTGTACACAGGATTCCATCAGCCAAGGGAAAGTGGAAAACATTCTCTACATGTGGCTCCCATCTCTCAGCTGTGTCCCTATTCTATGGATCCATCATTGGTGTCTACTTTCTCCCTTCTTCTGCCTATTCAGCAGAAAGGGATAAAGTAGCTGCTGTTATGTATACAATTGTGACCCCCATGATGAACCCCTTTATCTACAGTCTAAGAAATAAGGATATGAAAGGAGCACTGAAGGGACTACTCAGCAGAAAAATATTTTTCTGGAAAAGATGAGGCCTGCCATGAGAGACACCTGTAACAGCTTCTTAGACTTCGGTGAATACATAGAGGGTCCAGAGCCTTTCTCTGTATACACAATTTTACATGCTAGATCACAGATACGGAAAGAAGGAAGGAAAGAAAGAGGTAAGGAAAAGAATAGAGGGAGGGATGAAGTGATAACCATAGCTCAATATACCTTAGAGATAACATTATATTGAAGTTCACAACTTGCACACAATAACTTGATTCTCACAATTACCCTTTGAGGTAAATATAGTATCCCCTTGTACTAATCTTTAAAAATGATATACTAGAAGAAAAACTAAGGCAAAAAGTGTCACTTGTCCTGCTCTGAGCCTTTACAGAGGCTCCCTGCAAAAGTTAAATTTCCTCACCATTTAAGAGCCTCTACCACCTTGACTCAAGTACATTTCCAGGAGTATGAGCAAATTTTCACTATTCCCTCTACCATTCTTGGTACATCTTACATTATCGCTACACTAGCACCTTGTCATACCTTGAGCATCCTATAGATTCACATGACTCTTGTCTTTGTAGATGTTATATCTTCTTCCTAGAACATCTACTCCACTCTCCTTCTACAGACATCCAACACTTTCTTTAAGGTTCCATCTCAAGTGCTATATTTTCTGTGTTTTTGTTTTTTACAATTCTCAAGCCTTTCTACATAAAAAGTACTCCTCTTTTCTTTTGCTTTAGGCTCCCATAGCACTTTATTTTGCTATTATGTCATTTGCCAAAATAAGCTATAATTATCAGAGTATGTGTTGGTGCTATACAAGATGCCCTAAGCTCTTAGGATGGGGAATCAACAATATTTTTTATTAATTATTATATCTGTAGCCTGAGTATAATGCCTAGAAAGAGTAGTTGCTCAGTAAGAAAAACTGAATAAAGAAGTTGTTATTTTTCAGAACAGAAAATATAGTTTTAGTTTATTGTCCCTGACTTGTTGAGTAGCCCTAGAAGAACCAATTAATTTCTCTGAGATTCAGTGCCCCACTGATACAATCCATGAATCAGTTGTACTAGCTTCTGCCTCCTAGCTACCCCCATTGACCATAGGACACTTTGAAGTTAAAACATTTTGAGACAAAAGGCTGTGAAAAGAACCATACTGGATAACTACCAGGAATACAAATAAACAGAGAGAATAATTTCTACTGTTATGAAATACAGTTAACAGAAGTTTATTGTTTATCTCAGAGTAACTAAAAAGAGAATTTTGAATGTTTCCAAAACAAGGTAATGACAAATGCTTGAGATGATGGGTATTCTAGTTATAATGTTTTGTTTATCACATATTGTATGCTGTATTCATATGCTGAAAAATTAAATTGTACTCCCCAAATATGTACAACTATTATATGTTAATAAAAACTGACAAATAAAAATAAATACAATTTCCTATTGACATAACCCTACCACTCCCCACCCCAAAAAAACCCTTGAAAGCAAAAAGATAAGTCAAGTAATAAACATACACAAGAATATGAAGTCCTGAGGTCCATATGGATTTGTGTGTGGGTATGGAAGTTAAGACATAATACTTGGACCCTTTTATGCTATCTTTGTATATCCCAACTTTTGATGGTGGAGTAAACATCAGGCTTTTTAGGCAACTGGTATTGCTAAAACATATCCTGCTGAGTTATACAGTCCAAGTTGAATGAACCTGGCTGTTTGTCTTATGGCACCTTCTAGTACTAAATTTTCCATTTCGTGGTTACATAGGCACCACAGTGGTGTAGTTAGTGCTATTTAAAGTGTAATGTGCACGAGGGCCAGAAGATGGAAGAATGGTTATATCACTGGATTCCCATGTAGTTGACCATGGTTCAGGTCCTGGACTTGGTGACTTAAAACTCAGGCCAAGAACATCTGCATGTGTGCCCAAAATTCTGAGAGGAGAATGGAGAAAAAGGGATTGCAGAGTGGCCATCCCCCCTGGGGGGTGATTTCTCGCTTTCTGTCTGTGTCTCTGTCTCTCTGGCGAGCACCTGTGTCCTATAGAAAAACCTCTCTTAAGAAATAAAGTTTAAAAAAAAGTATAATGTGCAGACCTGTATTAACCACAACACTTTTTTTTACTAGTGAATAGAGATACTATGGTGATATAAGTTTAGAATTGAGAGTATTTAGAAACAAAGAAATTTTACATTACCATATAATGGTAATTTTATTTTGCAAAGGTATAATTCTAAGAAAATTTGCAGATTAAAAAAAGGTTTGAAGCTTTATATTTAAATTTTTGATCCCTTTTGATTTGATTCTTACTAATAGTGAGAGACAGGGCTCCAGGTTCATCTTTCTGCAGGTGAATATCCAGTTCTTCCAGCACCATTTGCAGAAAAGACTTTTTTTTCCCCTCCACTGAATTATATTAAAGAGTAGTTAAAAATCCCCACCACAGATATGCATACCCTTTACAGTATATTTTTAGGAATATTCTATTTTGACCTATTCCATGTAAAAAAGATATCCCTTGGCTAATCTTTGAATATAGGGCTCAGACACTTTCTTTAACTATAGGTTGACCAATTGCCAATTGAGTTCTATGTAGCTCTTCTTACATAAATCTCACGCACAATTCATGATCTTTTTTGTTTTAGTTTATCTATTTATATCTTCCATGAGAGAGAGAGAGGAGAGAAAGGTATCTCTCACCAAGTCTTCATGCCACAACCCACCCACAATCTCAGCAGCCAGAATCATGAATATGCATGTTCCCACCTGGCATGTACAGTGAAAATTCAGAATGCAAACCAGGGACCTTACAATATGACTTCAGCATCTTATAACATTCCATTATCACTGTGCCACTATGGCTGGGCCCTGATGCATTGTCTTTAACTTCTAATTTCAGTTTCTTTAAAGTGAAGCAAGAACTTAAAACACTTGCAAAACAAGCTAAGTATATAATTCTGGGACAGTTTTCAGTTTTGTTCCTAATTTTTTACATCTAATTCAACAACAATTTTTTTTAAAGATTTATTTTATGTAACCTTATTTATGTAGTTATGTTTTAATTTGACCAAATAGGGACAGAATGAGAGAGTGAGAGAGAGAAAGTGAGAAAGCAAGCCTCCATGTCCAGGACTCAAACTGTAGTTGACCATGCGGGAGTCTAGCAATCTTAACCACTACGTCACCTGCCAACGCCCAACAACAATATTTTTAGTGACTTGCCTTTATTGAATCTTTTCAATATATGTAACTTAATTTTGATTGAAATAACTTTATATTGCTATATTGCATTGGTTCATATCATTTTAATTAACCTTAATTTAAAATAATTAAATAAAATTATAATTACAAAAATAAGTACAACTAATACTAACAAGTTTTGGGGAAAACACAACGGACTTTCGTAAGGTAACAAATAATTGGTGAGACGGGACATAGCAGTGTGAGCATATTAGAGAACAGCCAGTTAGCTACAAGTACTTATCACATCTTGGACATTGGCTAGAAAACTTTGTGCATGAATGGAAACCATCTTCAATCTAGAGAGTTTGCATAAAGATCAATAGTAGGTTAGTGCATTAAGAAGATAGAAGCAGGTGCTTTGACTAAATTTACTTAGACTGTACAAGTTACTTAGTCTGAAATAGAAAAAAATAGATTGATAACTAGTCATAAAATTGAATCAGTAATTAATAGTCTCCCAACCAAAAAAAAAAAGCCCAGGTCCAGATGGATTCTTTTCTGGATTCTACAAAACTTTTTAAAAAGTGCTTACCACAACTCTTATCTATTTCTAAAGATTCAGAAGGAAGGAACCTTCCCAAACTCAAACTATGAAGCCTCCATCACCTTGATACCAAAACAGACAAGGACATAACAAAAACAAAAGAATACTACAGACCAGTATTTTTGATGAATACTGATGCAAAAGCTCTCAACAAGATACTAGCCAGCCTAATCCCAAAAGCACATGAAAATTATGCACCATAACCAGGTAGGTTTTGTCCCAAGGATGCAAAGATGGTTTAATATACACAAAATAATAAAGGTAATACATCACATTACCAGAAAGATTTAAAATCATATAATCATATCTATAGATGCAGAAAAAGCATTTGATAAAAGACAACATCCCTTCATGATCAAGACTGTCAGCAAAAAAGGGATAGAAAGGACATTCCTCAATACAATGAAAGCCATATATGACAGATCTATTGCTAACATTATGCTGAATGAGGAAAAGCTGAAAATGGTCCCACTAAAAACTGAAACAAGACAAGGCTACCCCCTTTTTGCACTCCTTTTTAGAATAATACCAGAAGTCCTGGCCAATGCAATCAGACAAAAAGATGAAAATAAAAGATGTTCAGATAGGAAAGAAGAAGCTAAACTATTCCTAGTTGTAGATTATATGTTTATATACATAAAAAATCCAAAGGAATCCCCCCAAAATCCTCTTAGAAGTGATGAATGAATTTAGTCAAGTAGCAAGTTACAAAATCAATATACAAAAATTCTAGCATATTTATACATCAACAATTAATAGACTGAGATATAATTGAAGAAAGCAACCTCCTTTACATTAACCATAAAACAGTAAGATACCTAGGAATAAACCAAAGAGGTGAAAGATCTACAAAGAAAACTACAAAAAACTTAAATAAGAAATTGAGAATTATACAAAAAAAAATGGAGACATCCCATTTTCTTGGATTTGAAGAATATATATAATCAAAATGTAGTGTTACTCAAATTCATTTATGTATGCAGTGCAGTTACAATCAAATTGCTAGTGACATTCTTCACAGAAGTGGACAAAACAGTCATAAAAAATCTGTCTGGAATCATAAAAGACCTCAGCTTGCCAAGACAATACTGTGTAAAAAGAATAAAGTAGGAAATATCTCCCTACCTTTAAAATATATTACAAAGTGGTGATAAGCAAAACAGTATGATATTGGCAGAAAAATAGACATACTGACCAGTGGAACAGATTGGAGAACCCAGAAATAAACCCCAAATCA